ATTTTCTAGTTGTGCTTTTGTGTTTGTATAATCATTTTCTTGGGGTTGTAAGTATGTGAGCCCCCCTTCAATGATGATTTTGCCTATGTCCTTATTACCCTTTGTCATGTATGCCTTTCCTCCCTTAAAAGTCATCTCAATGCCCAAGTCTTTGCTGAGCTTGAGTGTGGCCAGTATATTGTGAGGTATCTCAGGTATGAGCAGTACCCCCTCTATTCTCCCTATCCCATTTATGTGTGTGTTCCCTTCTCCTGTTACCAGTACCTTGTCCTGATTAGCTACCTTAATGTGGTACTTCTTTGCTGTGAATGATATAAGTATGTTCCTGTTGTTGGTGGTGTGGTTGGTGGCTCCTGAATCGATGAGCCACGTGTTCCCTTTTCCTGGCTGCGTGCATGTGGGTTGGTGGTCCCCAAGGCCATACAGTGACCCTGGTTGGCTGTCCCTGGAGCTGTCTCTATGTCCCTCCTGTTTCTGGGATTGGGGGAGTCTCTGCGCCTGAATCTGCTGTCTGGTGAGTGCCTGTCTAGGAACCCTGACTTCCAGCCTTGCCTTTCCCTACGGTGATTATAGTCTCTGTCCCTTTGGTTTCTGGGGCAATCTCTCTTATAATGATTTCTGGAGCCACAGGTAAAGCATTCGGGGGTGTTGTGATCTCTGGTTTGAAACTCTACCCTTTTTACTGGTCTACTCTCCCTGCAGCTCGTGGAGTGGTCCCTTCTTAGGCTATCCTCAGCTATCAGCCTGTTGGTAAGTGTTTCTAGGGAGAGGTGTTCTATGTTGAGGCTATCCAGTTGCACTATAAAGTTTTCCCAACTAGAGTCCAGGGAATTTATAATTATACTCTTCATACTATCTTCAGAGATAGTCTCCCCCCTTTGTATAAGTTCTGCCCTGGTAGCATTTAGTTTTAGAATATGCTCACCCATGGGAGTTCCAGCCTTGTGCCTGGCTGAGTAGAACTCTCTAGAGATCTTGGTGGTTGTGGCTGCACTCTTGCTATAGAATAAGTTGAATATTTTTTGTAATATCTCAGCCACAGTCAAGTAGTGGCCAAGGCTGGGGTATATGCTGGGTGATAGACTTGCCATTAACAAATAATAAGCCCTGTGGTGCAGGCAATCTATATCAAAGGTCCAAGGTTTTCTAGGTGGGTCATTAAGTAAAAATAACATATTTTCTCTTAGAAAGATAATTTGGAGCTGATGATTCCACTCTAAGAAATTAGTCCCATCTAGTTTTAGCTTGTGGAAATCAGCTGGCAAAGTCATTGAGCTGTATGGTAAGTTACTCACAGTCTGGAGCTGTCCATGGTTTTGCAGGTGAGGGAACTCGCAATATGCTGGGGGAATGCTAGTTGCTAGTCTGTATGGATTTATCTCTATGTTCCTCTCTCTTCTTACAGGCGGCGACTGGGCATGCACGCTCATTTTGCTCCAGAGCTCGTTGGGTGAGGAACTCTCTGCTGCTGCTCTTAGGCCTAGGCCTAGGCCTGCTGGTGGGAGGGAGGCTGGACTCATCCCTGGCGGGCCCGTAGCCCTCCCTGGACGACGGATGCCATGGCTGGGCCCCTGGATCTCTGGCGAAGAACGGGAAGAGGTGAGGAGTGAAGCAGTCGTAGGTCAAGGACCTCTGGAGCTCGGTGGCGCGGGCGATGGACATAAGTCGAGGATCCCCTGGATTCAGCGGTGTGGTGGCGACGGCGGCAGCAGCGGCGGCGGTGGATCCTGGTCGTTGCTGGATGGTCTCCAGACGAGTAGAGAAGCCTGGCGGGTGTCGCACGACTGGTGAGTAGCTGTTTTGCCTTCGTATTCCTGGGTCTTGTGTAGTTGGTGCAGCGGGTGGTGAGTGCGAATCCTGCGGTTGATCAATCCTGCAGGTGATCGGGTTCCGGTGGTCGTTTTCTGGGTGCGTTGTCTCTCGGAATGTTGGCTGGGTCGCTGCATGGGTTCCGGTGACCACCCTGTTGTCCCTCTGGCTTTGGTGTGCCTCGGGGTGTTTCTTTGCAGGCGCGGGAGGCTTGAATGCGGAGCCGAGTGCTGCTGCAAGAGTCTCGATCGCTTTTTCCACTTCGGGCCCAGTAGGTGGGCTCTTGCAGGCCTGTGTTGTTGTTTCTGTGCGGTTTTCGGGTTCTTCCCCATTCGTGTTGGGGTCCTCGCAGGTTCGCGCCATTTCTTTTAAATCTCGGCTCCCCATTGGTTGTCAGCCATTCCAAGATGGCCGCTGGGAGCATGGCACGGAAATGAAATCGTCCATGTCCGGAACTTCAGCTTGGGAAAGCCTTTCCCTTGCTGGACTGGCAACTTCATTTTCTGGTTCCTGGGTGCTCATCGCTGCTCCATGGCTTTCCAGAAGGCCTTGGAGTTTCGCAATGAGCTCCTCTTTGCTGGCGGGCGCTTCCAGCATCTTCAGAATGGTTGATTGGAAGTTGTCTCTGCTCGGTGGCTCTGTTCTTTCGCTGCTGCAGGTTTCCTCTCTCAGTTCCTCGTCCCAGAGCAGTAAGTTCGGGTCATGTTCCTGCTCACACTCGGTCGTGTCGATTCTCGCTGTGGCGCCTTCGAGAGCAGCTCCTCCATCTGTTTCATATAGGCTCTGGTGAACATCCTATTTTCTGCTTCGGACTGGATTCCTGATTCTGCCATTTCTGTGAGTTGTGGGTTAACCATCCTCTGCTACCAATCTCTGGCGTGTTTCCAAGGATCTTACTCAATAACTCCAACATGAAATGTATTTGAATCAGAGTTCTTTATTAATCAGTTATTTCTGTTACAGGTGGATATCTGGAAGTGCATCTGGATCCCTGGGCCATACCTTATATACCTGGGAGGCGAGGCCAAGGTAAGGAGGGATCAGGGGAAGGGTTAGGTGGGTGAATGGGGTTAACCCTTACTCTGCCATGGGGAAGCAACGTTAGGCATTTATATGTAATAATATCTCTTCTTAACACAAAGGTATCAGCAATCAGGATTATAAACCTGCCCTCCATAAATTATTGTCATCCTTTATCTTGCAGTAGGATATTCTCTAAAATAGATGCATTCTGTGAGGAACACAGAATGTGAGGAACATATGTGAAATGAAAAGAAAAGTAAAGAAGCATGTTAGGAAAGTGGATAAGAAATTCTCTTCCCCATGCCAACATTTTCAAAATTCAGTCTTTCTTCTTGAATCTTTCCCCTCTTAATTACAGCCCTTAAATGACTCGGCTAAATTTTACTATAATCCTGACTGAACACTAACTATAATTTTGATTTAACCCCAACATGACGGCATATATTTACAAACCTAACCCCAACAATATATCCCATAAATATCGTTAAAACTAACTTTAATGATAACCCTGGATCCCTAATTTAACCATACCCAATACAATATGCTAATTTAAATTTAACCTTAATATAAAACATTTAATCCATTTCAAATCTACCTTTTCCCTTGACTGATATTAAATTGAAATTTAACCTTAACAGTAAAACTGAAACAAACATTTTTATTTATTTATCATATTCTTTTTGGCTGTCCATCTCACAAATTGTGACTCAGAGCCATTACAATCAAACCATAAAATCGATTTTTAAAAAATCAACAAATAATATAATTAAAATGCTAGAAAAGAGCATCAGATTATAGTTATGTGCAATGGAGCTACTACATCAGATCACAATTCACTTGTGGCCTCCTGTTGATGCAGTCAGATTTTGAAGGACTTCCAGAAGGTGGGCAGAGATGGGGCCAATCTCACTTTGAGAGGATGATGTTCCACAGAGTGTGTGCCACAGCAGAAAAGGCCCATCTCCTGGCTCCTGCCAGATGTAACTCTTTGGCAGATAGGACCTACAGCATACCTCTTCTGCTGGACCATATGGGATGAGATGTAGTGGGGAAGAGGCAGTCCCTTAAATAACCTGGCCTCTGCTATGAAAGGCTCTAAAGGTCAAAACCAGCACTGGGATTAGAATTTACCTTAATTCTAACCCTAATGGTAAATCCCAATTCTAAAAAACCTGTAACACTAAGGAGTCTGATAGCCACATAGTTCCAACTTCAACATGTTTGGTTGCAATTTTCTACTCATTTTCTGTTTTTAAAATACAGAATTATTTATTTATTTATTCGCATTTCTATACCGCCCTTCTCCTTTCGGACTCAGGGCGGTGAACAGCCAGATAAAAAACATCTATACAAACATCACAATTAAAATAGAATTAAGATAATTTATAAATTTGGCTCATAATTTAAAACTTGTCAATTAAAATAAATATTAAAATTTTAAAAATTTTAAAACTAACCCTAAAATCAGGACAGATTAGATCCTGTACGGCTAGAATTCAGTGTGGGAAGGGTGATAATCTTGGGATGCTTGCTGCTGACATATTTGTTTTTGGCAGTCATGTGATTTGCAAGGCCTCGGTTTACCAACATCACATTCTTTGCCATATGTTGCATCACAGGAATATTATGTCTCCAGAATAATACAAGTAGTGTTGTAGAGATGACAAAATCTAGGGGCCTCCAATTTAGAAGTTAGGCCAGTACATTTAATATTGGGATAGGTGAGCCAAAATATAAAGTGGACGAGGCTGTGATTTTCAGCACTTATGATCAGAAAGTGTTCTGAGGGCTACAAAAAAAGAGAGAAAGAAAATGAAAAGAAAAATAAGGAGGATGGAATTATAAAGGAAGAAGAAAAGGCAGAGGTGTGGCCCTATGTTTCAAATTGTCATCTGCGTAATCTATCATAACATACTTATGGTGAAAAATCAAAGAGAGATGGGAAAGAGAACGAAAAGGGCATGCAAGTTTGGAGACATTCCTTATCTTTCTTCATTATTATTTTTTTGGCTACCTATCTGAACAGAGACTACTCTTTTCCATATTATGAATATATATTCTCTATTGTAGAAATTGTTATTTCTTTACCCTGAAGCAGAATTAAAGAATGCCTTTTAAAAATCTTTAAGGATTCTGTAATATTCATATATAACAAATTACAAATATACCTTGTCTTGCCACAATAAGGCTTGCCATACAATCTGGTACACTGGTTCCAGCTGCCAGAAATGTGATCCCCATTATCACATCTGGAATACCCAAAGTGAAACCAATGACTGTGACCTAGAAAAATAAAATGAATTGTCAGGTTGCTTAAACACTTATCTATAATACCATTTGGTTTTCAGTGAGGTGTTCTGTGGATGGAGACACTTTAGGTTTTCCCACTGATCATCATGTGGCTACAACTCATTTCTGCAAGAGCAGTAGTACTTATTAGAACACTTTGGCTGAAAAAAGTATTAGATATAATTGGATTCCAAGAAGACTGTGCTGCAACTGGTTTGGGTGATATTATGGATGAAACCTAGAATAGGGAACTTGCAAGTACTCTCAACAATTGTTACTGAGTGCACTCTCTGGTCTGCTGCAGTATACAGAAAGAACTGTAGGTACTAATAAAGTAAGGCAAACTGCTAGAGTAGGAGTCCCCAACCTCTAGTCCACGGACTGGCACTGGTCCGCAGCATGCCAGCAATCAGCCTGTGCAAACAAATGAAGCCCCATCTATGGGATGCAGGCAGCATGCAAAACCACACCTCCTCCTGTTGGAGGAAACACCTTTCTCTGTGGAACCGGTCCTTAGTGCCCAAAAGGTTGGGGGCCACTATGCTAGAGGCCAGATGGAGGAAAAACAGAATTTAAGAACCACAGCATAAAAACCACTTCATGGCTTGTGAAAGGAGAAGAATCTTCATTGCAGGCAATGACCAGTCCATAACTAAGACTAGTACTATAGTGATGTAGTGCAAATAAGCATGAGAGGGTTTTTTTTCTTGTGCATATGGCACCCACAATCTTATGACCTGCTAAATTGTTTCAGGTTGTAAGTGGCTGATTTGCACTCCCATTCCTTCTTCCTAAAATTATTTTAGAGAATATCAAGAGGTTTGTACTATTTTTAATGAGTTATTTTGCTGACAAAATATGATATATTCAGATTATCTGGGTGACATCTTTCATATATAGTCAGCTATGAGGGTGTTTAATAGCTAACAATAGCTAGATTTAATCAGATTCAACTGTGATGCTTGAATCCAGTGGTGAAATCCATTTTTTTTTACTACCAGTTCTCTGGGCGTGGCTTGGTGGGCGTGGTGTGGCTCGGTGGGTGTGGCAGGGGAAGGATACTGCAAAATCCCCATTCCCACCCTGCTCTGGGGCCAGCCAGAGGTAGTATTTGCCGGTTCTCCGAACTACTCAAACTTTCCACTGCTGGTTCTCCAAACTGCTCCAGAACCTGTCAGAACCTGCTGGATTTCACCCCTGCTTGAATCACTGTCTCCTTACAGGATATGCTCTATAACTAGTCCCATGGATACTTGCTCAACTTCTTTTGTAATTTCTAGCTGAGAGTAAAGATGTTTTATTTAGTGAGATAAATGTTTCCCAGAGCACAAGTTGCCTCCTTGTTTAAAGGAAACCTCTTTAGATTGCCTTCAAGCACTGAGTGGTGGGCAACTTGTTAGGATTGGCTAGAGGATGTGGATTTTTACAAAAAGATTTGGGAAATGCACATAGGACAGGCTGATTGTATAAATTTTCATGTCTTGTAAGAATAGGCATAATTATTTGGGGGAGGTGGAACAATGAAAGAAATTTGTTTTTCCTGAGATTTGTGGGGAAGGGAATGCCCACAAGTCTATTTTAAGATACACATCATAGTTGTGTGCTTTTCCTAACGCAAAATGGCAGAAAATGGTACTTCTGTTTTTTTGCAATTATGATGAAGGGATGGCAAGGATTATTAACCAAGGAAGGTCCACAAGGACACCTGGGATATGAGGTTTGTCACTCCTGACATCATTTCACTGATTGCTTGGCAACTGTTGGGAGGACAATAATGTTTTCCTTATGAGCTTCTGGCTGATTAGTGCTGAAAACAAAGGATAGATATTACTGTGAGAAGACAGTGCATCTACCGAATCTAAAGCTATCTTACTCAAGCCTAATACATACCATCCAGACCATTATATAGGAAAAGGCTGCAATCCAGAGTGTAGAGGAAGCAAAAGTGACCAAGAACCACTTCTCCCAATAGGGTTTGCTACAGTTGGGCACCGTGAAGTATAAGAGCAAAGATAGAGGCCAGGTGAAGAGCCACTTGATAATTTCTATTATGCCAGCTGTAAAAATAAATCAATATATTTTATAAGAACCAAAGAACTTTATTTGCACTTCTTATGCCACACTTTTATAAATGATCAAAGTTATTCTAAAAACAGCAGTTTTTTCTACAACCTCTTCCGATGAAAAAATGCTTTTAAAAGTAAAAAAAAAAGCCTCTGATGATCGCGCGGCTCAGCTGGGATCATCAGAGGCTTTTCAAAGCATTTTTTTCTGCAACTTCTTGGCCGAAGACGTGGTAAAAAAAAATGCTTTGAAAAGTATCTGACGATCCCAGCTGAGTTCCTGATGGCAGAGAGGCTTTTCAAAGCATTAGAAAAAATGCTTTGAAAAGTTTTTTTTTAAAAAAATTGGCCACGCCCACCGTCACATTATTCCCCCCACCAAGCCATGCCCACAGAACCAGTAGTAACAGATTTTACATTTCACCCCTGTCCCACAGCACCTCACATGGTTGTTATGGAATACTGCTGACTGGCATACTAAATTCAGGGAGCCTGATCAGATCATTGTTAGTACAATTTAAAATCCTTTTTTTGTAGGCAACATGGTCTTCCAATCTATAAAATTAAAAATTCAAAGATTTATTTATTCAATTTCTAGCCACCCAATTCAACCAGGAGAATCTAGGTGACTTACACTTCTAATACTGTAAAACAATTAAAAGCATTAAAACAATAAAAACATCCACAATAGCAATCATAATGATTAATCAGCAAATAGTAAAACCAAGTAATGGGGCCCTTAGACCAGGGTTCCCCAACCTTTCCAGCTTTGCAGAATGGCAGGGGGAGGAGAGGGCATGCCCATTGCCTGCACAAGTGGGGATACGCATGTGCGCACATGCACTCCCCCACCACTTGCACAGCCCAGTTCCGAAGGGCTCAAGGCCTGGTAATGGGCCATGGCCCAGGGGATGGGAACCCCTGCCTTAGACAGTTGATTCCCTATTAGAAACTCTAGGTTGGAAAGGTGACCAAGCCCAATGAAGTATGAGTTATTGCTGCCAAATTGGAATGACAGATTATCTTTTCAGTGTCCATCTCACAATATTCACCACTTTATTTTAAAGAATTAAATAATCATTTCTTCTTTTAGTATTTTTCAAGGGTTCTCTAGTCTCTCTAGGCCACAGCATCAGTATTTCCCTTTGCAAGCTGGCTGCAGAGAATTCTCAATTCTTCCTCAGTTAGGCAAAGAAACTGGAAGTATTTTGAGGATGCCTTCGGTGCAGAAGTAGCTTTCTAGAAGGTCAGAAGGTTTTACTGTTTATTTATTTATTTGTTTATTTATTTATTTATTCAACTTGTATGCCGCCTTTCTCCGAAGACTCAAGGCAGCTTACAATGCATTTAAAAACCATATATAAAAACATTAAAAATTAAAACATTAAAAACAATTAAAACCCATTCACACCATTCATGGCTGGATCTCGCCAGATCGCAACAGCGAGATCAACGGCCCCAGGTCTGCCGGAAAAGCCAGGTCTTCACTGCTTTTCGGAAGGCCAAGAGGGTGGGGATGGTCTGGATCTCAGGAGGTAACTGGTTCCAGAGAGCTGGGGCAGCCACAGAGAAGGCCCTCCCCCGCGGGTCCGCCAGCCGACAATGTTTAGTTGACGGGACCCGGAGGAGACCAACTCTGTGGGATCTTACCGGTCACTGGGAGCTATGCGGTAGAAGGTGGTCTCGAAGATAACCTGGCCCTGAGCCATGTAGGGCTTTAAAGGTAATAACCAACACCTTGAATTGTGACTGGAGATCAATAGGGAGCCAGTGCAGCTCGCGGAGAGTTGGTGTAATGTGTGTGTACCTAGGTGCACCCATGACAGCTCGCGCGGCTGCGTTCTGGACCAACTGTAGTCTCCAAACACTTTTCAAGGGTAGCCCCATGTAGAGCGCGTTGCAATAATCTAACCGTGAGGTGACAAGAGCATGAGTGACTGTGAGGAGAGCCTCCTGATCCAAGTAGGGTCGCAATTGGTGCACCAGGCGAACCTGTGCAAAGGTCCCCCTAGCCACAGCTGACAGATGTTGTTCTAATCTTTTTTTTTTATTGAAAAAGTTTTTCAAATACAAATTTTTCCCCCTTTTCCTCTTAAAAAAGACTTTAAGCTTGTAATCCATATGATATCTTCTGTAATGTCTTTCAGCTGGATTGTAAACTCCATCACCCATGTTAGGGTAACATCACATCCTAATTCCAACAGTATGTTCGGTATCTTCAATTACCATCTGCCCCCATCAATAGCAAATATCTTCATAAAAAACAACAACAACAACAACAACAACCACCCGAGTGACTTTATATTTGTATTCCATATAGTGTCTGTAGAGGTGTCTTTTATCCAAATTATTAATTCCAACCACTGTAATAGGGTAACAGCCAGATCATCTGCGTGCCCCAATTCCATAACTCTCTCGCCTTGTAGCTCAGCATAAACGTAGTATATTTATCAAAGAGTCCAAAAAAAAAGATAGTTCCAATCATTTCAGTTTAAGGCCCTTTTCACATCCCAAAAGTACAGCACTGCAGAAGTCTGTCACTCTCCTCAGGATAATATAAACCACTACTTCGCCTCAACTATCTTTTCATGTATTCAATCATCTCTTAAATAACTGGCATTACACTGTTGTTTGGTTTAAAAGTTTTTGTTTTTGTGTGACCTGCTTCTTCTTTTCTTGACTTTTTGTGGGTTAGATCTCCATCCTGATTTCCTTTCTATAAATTGTATGTCAACTGTTTGGTTTTCATGCTGATCTATAACTTGATCTTGTTGGTTTTGCTTTTGTGGCTTAAATCTCCATTCTGGTTCTATGAGTTTTATATCAACTGATTGATTTCCATGCTGGTCTGTAACTTGATAAATCATCACTTTAGAATCCAGAGCCGCCTCTCTTGTATTTATAAATAGTCCAGCTGAGACCTCTGAAGGAAAATCCAGAAGCGGCTCATCTACGGGGACCTCTGTAACTTGTTGTTTTTCCATTACTTCCACCTCCTTTTCCTTATCTTGAATTTCTATCTCTTGTTGATTTTGCTTTTGGAGAACCTTGTAGTAAAATTCTTCCGTTTTTTCAACAGTATTTAGCTGATATCTTTCTCCTTGATATCTCAATATTATACCAACTGGAACGTCCCACCTGAATGAGATATTTTGTTTCTTAAGCTCAGTCACCAAAAATCCAAATTTCTTTCTATCTTTTAAAATCTTAGGCGGCAACTCTTTATATATCCAGATCTTTCTTCCATACAATTGTAGAGTAGAATTAAAAGATTTTTGCACAATATCATTTCTTATTTCTTTGTCTGTGAAATAAATCACCACATCTCTAGGCAATTGCCTTTGCTTTGCAATCCAAGAATTTACTCTATAAGCCTTGTCAATCTTACAAGATACCTCCTCAGGATGAACCTTTAAAATCCCGGCCAGAACTTGAGCAGATATTTTTCTTAAATCATCTCTATTATTTTCCTGTAACCCTCTCATTCTAACCGCAAATTCTGTGAGCCTGTATTTCATCATTGTAATTTCTTTTTCAATCCCTTGCTTTATATCTTCTGCATTGTAAGTCTCGTGAGCAGCTTCCTTTTTAGACTTTACTTCTAAACTATTGTCTTGAATATTTGTCAAATCATTTTCAATTATTTGTATTTTATTGTCCAAATTATTAATCTTATCATCAACTTCCTCCATTTTGGACTCTAATAACTTGATATTTGTATCCATCTTTATAACAATTTCTGAAAAAGCATTAGTCACTGTTACAATCTTTCGTTGCAAATTATCATACTTTAGTTGTATCATTTCTTTAATTTCTTGCCTAAATTTTTCAAATTTCTGGTTCACAGTCTCGTGATATCTTGCCATTTCCTCCTGGACAAATTCTTTTAAATTAAATCCATTCTGCTGAGTCTGTAAGCTCAGAACTTGTTCACATAATTGTAAATGGGGGAACACTCCCCCCCATTGCTTGTTTGTCAGGCTTTATTAGTTTTAACGCCATCCTGCCAGACAAACTCTTTTTAAAGAAAGAAAACTTTTCCCCAAGCAAGATCAAGTACAAATCTCCAAGAAAAAAGAAACTTAAAATAGATATTTTTCTTCCAGATTCTAGCCAGCACTGTTTATTCCGCTACTTTGTAGCTTGTTACGGAAGGACTTTCACTTTCGGCTTTCTTCTTCTTCTCAAGCCTCAGCAGTCGCCATTTTAAACTTTTTTTCCCTTCACTCTGAAACGCTTGTAAAATCATTAAAAATACTTGCGATTTAGGGTCCCAAGTCCAAATCTCGTCCTTTTTAATTAGTCCATCTGTTAATTTCATTGATTGGTCGGGTTCCAGCGCCTAGCTCTGCAAAAAGGCAGAGTTCTCCCGAAGCCCGGAGCAGCGGCGAGCGGAAATAGGGAGCCACAACCTGCTCGTCCCCAAGAGTAAAAAAAAACAAACTCTGGAGACTTCGCAGAGGGCTCTACCTGCCCTCGCCTGCTCTGTCTCACATTTCCTTCAGGAAATGGAGTTTTTCGAGCCGCCTTTCAGATGTAAAGGCGGCTCTTTACAGGCAACGGGGCTGGCGGTCTCAGAGGACCGTCTGGTGGCGATGGAAGCCAGACCGGAAGCCCGGATGTTGCTCTAATCTTATCTGTGAGTCTAGGAGGACACCCAAATTGCGAACCCGTTCTGAGGGGGACAATTTCTTCCCCCCCAGAACCAAGGGTGGACAATCAACATAGTCTTTAGGAGGCAATACCCACAGCCACTCGGTCTTGTCTGGGTTAAGTCTGAGTCTGTTGACTCCCATCCAGACTCTCACGGCCTCCAGGCACTGGCACATCACATCCACTGCCTCACTGAATTGACGCGGGGTAGAGATATACAGCTGGGTATCATCGGAGTATTGCTGATACCTCACCCCGTATTGTCGGATGATCTCACCCAGCGGCTTCATGTAGATGTTAAATAGAAGGGGAGAGAGGACCAAGCCCTGAGGCACCCTGCAAACGAGGGGCCTAGGGGTCAACCTCTGTCCTCCTACCAACACCGACTGTGACTGACCAGAGAGATAGAAGGAGAACCACCGTAACACGGTGCCTCCCACTCCCAACTCCCTTAGTCATCCCAGAAGGATACCGTGGTCAATGGTATCGAAAGCCACTGAGAGGTCAAGTAGCACCAAGATGGAGGAATGACCCCCATCTCGGACTCGCCAGAGATCATCCATCAGCGTGACCAAGGCAGTTTCCGTGCTGTAGCCAGGCCTGAAGCCAGACTGAAAAGGGTCTAGATAATCCGTTTCCTCCAATGACCACAGGAGCTGAAGTGCCACCACTATCTCTACAACCTTTCCCACAAAGGGTAGGTTGGAGACTGGATGAAAGTTCTTTAATTCTGCTGGATCCAGGGAAGGCTTCTTGAGGAGGAGGGGCCTTACAACCGCTTCCTTTAATGATTGCGGGAAGGCCCCTTCCCTCAAGGACGCGTTAACTAAAGCCTGTAGCCAGCCTCGTGTCACCTCCCTGCTGGCCAAAACCAGCCAGGAGGGGCACAGATCCAACAAGCAAGTGGAGGAACTCATCGCTCCTACAGCTTTGTTCACTTCCTCAGGAGTCACAAGCTCAAATTGTCCCCTGTTGTCCCCTTTCAGATTTTTCCCTCTCCAATGTTAGTGGTAGAACATGAGATGTCAGTAACATTACTCCCACATTACAAAAGCTTTGCAACCAGCAGCATTCAAATTCCACTGCTCTAATTCCAAAGCATCCAATCAAGAAGAGCCAAAACAGAAATGTTTGCTAATTTATGTTTTGCTTTCAGTGCTACAAATATTAATTGTTTAATAACTAAAGCAAAAACACAAACATTTTTGAAATTTCTTCAAGAGTCCATAGACCTGTAACTTTATTCTTTGGAAGTGGAAAACATAAATATAATATAAAACAATATTAGAGGATTTTGTAATATTTTCCCCTAAAAGATGAGAAGGCAACTTGGTGCTACACAAAATATTTAGAACAAGGTCCACAATTCCTTTCTTGCTGGGGTTGGTGGAAGTTGAAGTCCAAAACAACTGGGGAATACCAGGCTACCTATCTTAACCCAAAAGGGAAAAATACTTTAAACTGTCAAATCCTACAAAGCCTTGAATATAGAAAAGAATATCTGGCATTTATTATTTCCCCTTTTCCTACAAGGCATCAAAGAATACAATTTTTTAAGGACAGTACACTAATTTGAATTAATTTTGTCTGCATGGGAAAATAATTGAAGGGAAGGGAAAGTTAAGAAGGTACATTGCTTGTTGTACTCTGTTGTTCTAATACCGTAAAGTACAATAAAGTAAATATCTCCAAATTAGATATTTCATCTTTAAGGAATGATGAAAGATAAGGATTTGAAATGTTAAGGATAGATAAATAGAAACACAGGAATTTCTTACATGGTGGATCAAAAGGAGTGTAAGGGCCTTGGTCATCATCATCATCTTCTTCCTCCTCCTCGTCATTCTCATTGTTTTCATTGTCATCATTTTCATTCTCTGTTTCATTGCCACCCTCAGCAGCCTCCTCATCTCTTCTGGTTCCATTTGTGCTTCCTTTAGCAGAGTTGCTGAACCCTGATCCATTCTCCATGGTATGTTTGAAAGGGACCTTGATGGCTATCTCTGATTCTCCATTGGTATACACTCGGCTGTTGATTAATCTTTGTCTCTGGAAGAAAACAAAAACAAAGTGAAATCTGCACGCATTTTTAAAACACAAATAAACTGAATGAAAAGACGAAGAGATGTGCAAAACAAAATGACCAAATTATTTGTTCAAAAATATTTGGCTGATGCCATTTTGATGTCAGGACATTGTGATTTTAAAGCGCATGTAACTTTCATTGATGCCCTAAGCCAGTGGTGGGATTCAGCCAGTTCGCACCACTTTGGGAGAACCGGTTGTTAACTTTCTGAGCAGTTTAACAAGCTGGTTGTTGGAAGAAATCATTAGGGCAGAGAACCGGTTGTTAAATTACTTGAATCCCATCACTGCCCTAAGCCTTGTATACTCATTCCATGAGAAGCATATAAAATGCTGAATTCAATAGCACTTGAATAGACAGAAAATGTTTTATTTTTAAATAATTATTAATCTTTTAGCTTTAAATATGTTTGCAAATAACCAGAGATTCAGTGCAGATTGATTTTTGAGGAACCTGAACTTTTATAAGAGCTCCAAAGTCTAACGATGCCATCCCAATGACAAAGATTCTGGAAAAGTATGGGAGGAGTCAGATTATTACATACCATATCAAATTCTGGTTTGCCAGGAATTAACAGCCTGCCGATCCAAACACTCCCTTTATGTCCTCTTATAACTGAGTGGTGCAAGCATACTCAGAATATAGCGCTTTTACTGTGTTATATGAACCACAAATTCTGACTAACCAAATTCCTGTTAGTATGAAGTTATCAATGTACAAAAGAAGCCTTCTGGGTTAAATTGTCATCCCCACTGCAAGAGAAATTTAGGACTGAGCAGCAGATACCATTCCTTTCCTGCTTTCTTCCTGCTAAGATAATGCTTTTTGAGCCGGATGAAAGGTGGCAAAAGCAACAATTAATAGTTGGAGTAAAAGAAAGGGTGGGTTGTAACATTTGAATAAAATCTACTAAATACCTCATTGATCAACATGCGACTGGCCATGGAGAGCCGGGTCCTGGGAGGAAAGTGACTTGTGATCATAATCCGGAGTCCAGCCTCTGAAAAGGATAGCTGGTGTGGATATGCAGACAGCAACTCGTCCACCATGATTACAGAGGCTTTGCGGTGGAAATTTCCTAAAAAAATAATTAACAGAATTGGAAGGAAAATTCTTTTGCATCATCAATTTTTCTCATCTGAAAGTTCTACAATTTATAGTATTTTTGACCTTAATTTCATTTAACATTTTAGTAGCATCTCCCTAATTTTTAGAAACATACAATAATAGATGTATTGAGTCCATTCACCACTGTCTTTTTCCTCTATTATTTATTTTATTTATTTATTTATTTATTGCGATTTATATGCCGCCTTTCTCCCTAGGGACTCAAGGCGGCTTACAAAATGACAACTTCAATACAAATCACAATACAATACCAAATTAAAATCAGTAACCCAATTAAAAAACAATTTAAAATTATACCAGTGTACCCCCAAACGGATCAGTTTAATTGGCGGAAGAGCTACGTTTTCAGTTCGCGACGGAAGGAAAGAAGGTCGGGGGCTGTCCTGAGCTCAGTGGGCAATCCATTCCAGAGGGTCGGGGCTCCCACAGAGAATGCCCTCCCCCTGGGGGTCGTCAGCCGACATTGTTTGGCTGACGGCACCCTGAGGAGGCCGACTATGTGAGAGCGCACAGGACGATGTGAGAACGGCTGGAGATGGTCCTGCAAGTACCCCGGGCCTAAGCCATGAAGGGCTTTATAGGTGAGCACCAGCACCTTGAAACATATTCGGAGTGCCACCGGTAGCCAGTGCAGCTCACGCAGGAGAGGTGTTACACAGGAGTATCTAGACGCCCCCATAACTACCTGCGCGGCTGCATTTTGGACTAGCTGAAGCCTCCGGACACATCCCAAGGGCAGCCCCATGTAGAGGGTGTTACAGTAGTCCAACCTAGAGGTAACAAGGGCGTGAGTGACCGTGGCGAGGGCATCCCAATCTAGGAACGGGCGCAACTGGCGCACAAGACGGACCTGTGCGAAGGCCCCCCTGGTTACGGCCGTCAGATGGTCATCTAAAGACAGCCGAGAATCCAGGAGGACACCCAAGTTGCGGACCCTATCGGAGGGAGCAAGGGTTTCACCTCCGATCATTAAGGATGGAACCTCCAGATCCCAGGATGCCGGCATCCACAGCCACTCAGTCTTGGAAGGGTTGAGTCTAAGCCTGTTCCTCCCCATCCAAACCCGCACCGCTTCCAGGCAGTGGGACATCACGGAAAGGGCATCCCTAGGGTGGTCAGGGGTGGAAATGTAAAGCTGGGTATCATCAGCATATTGATGATACCTCACCCCAAAACCATGGATGATCTCACCCAGCGGTTTCATATAGATATTAAAGAGCAGAGGAGAGAGAACCGAGCCCTGAGGCACCCCACAAGTGAGAGGCCTCTGGGAGGATCCCTGACCCCCCGCCCAAACAGACTGCAGACGGCCCGAGAGATAGGAGGAGAACCACTGTAAAACAGTGCCTCCTAACCCTATCCCCCTGAGCCGCTGCAGCAGGATACCATGGTTGATGGTATCGAACGCCGATGAGAGGTCAAGAAGGACCAGGATGGAGGAGCAACCCCCATCCCTGGCCCGCCAGAGATCATTTACTAGGGCGACCAATGCCGTTTCCGTGCTGTGGCCACGCCTGAAACCAGATTGGTAAGGATCCAGGTAGTCAGTTTCCTCCAGGAATTGAGGGAATTGCTGTGCCACCATGGACTCAACAACCTTCGCTAAAAAGCGAAGGTTGGAGACTGGACGGTAGTTGTTAAGTACGTCAGGATCCAGGTTAGACTTCTTAAGGAGGGGTCGAACCACCGCCTCTTTAAGCACAGCGGGAAAGACCCCTTCCTTTAGTGAAGCATTGACAATAGCCTGGATCCAGTCTCCAGTCACCTTATAAAAATATTATCATATTTTTCTATCTGCTTATGTTGGCCAAATATATTTTTTGATAAACACTACAAAATTCTAGATATTTATATATAATTTATGACAGAAAAATAAATTGTAGATAACTTTAAAATTATAATTTATGGATATACTGTATACTGTACCAGAGGTATATGGATGCTTAATTTTATAAATTACAGATTTTTACTGTTCCTAACCTGGTTACAGACTAGAACAATAATCTACTATGCTGATCTATATCTTATGCCACATGGTAAGCTACAGATGTAACAAATTACAAAATATTTAATGTTATTGTTTGAGCCATTCTGACTCCTAATGTAAACAGCAGCTTAGTTTCCAAAGTACAGCATAATAGGGCATTGTCTTCCAGATACTTGTTCTTACTAAATCTAAAAATCTTTTTAGCTGTACATGTAAACAGATGGAATACTATTGTGAATAATCGTAGAATCTTGTATACAAGTCTATTAAAAATATTTTTCCATTTTTGTTTATACAGTAGTCCTCAACTTACAACCATTTGTTTAGGGACCATTTAAAGTTACAACAGCACTGAAAAAAATGACTTATTATTGGTTTTTCACATTTATGATCACTGCAGCATCCCCATGGTCATGTGATCTTGGAAGTCCTGGAAGCTAAGCAGGGTTGGAACTGGGTTTGTACTTGGATGGTGAGAGATAACCAGGGAATCCGAGAGATGTAATGTATACTAGGAAGTTGAAAAACATCTCAGGAAAAGATAGCATCCAACTGTTGTCAAAGAACTTGAATCCAAGACATTTTGCCTTTACTTAAGAGTTCCCACTTTCCCACTTTAGACCTAATAACATTAACTTTCTAAAAAAGGTAAAAATGGCCACTGTCTTAGTCCCCCAAATTGCCTACTCCTTTTTTGGAAAGTTTATGTACAAGTGGAGGCCCTCTGCTCTTGTGCTTCCCCACAATCTGAGATTAGAGATTGTGTCCATACATACTGCTAAACCAAGATTTTTCATAATGGCTTGTTGAACAAACTAATGACCTGGTTCAGATGTAATGCTAAGACATCACACTAAGTTTACTTTATAACACTGTTGTGCCAGAATTGGCCCATAGGTGCCACTCCACCTCCAGATTCTGTCAAGGGGCTGCATCCCTTCAGGGGGGCCGAAGACTACTTGCAGCTCCACATAAACCCTTAAATATTGACAAGAGGTTTCTCTTTAGCTGTGTGCTCCCGAGACTCCAACTTTGAAGGATGCAAATGCTAGTGATACAGCACTTCTGCTGCCTATGTAAGGACAAGTAGGCAATGGGCGGGAGGAGGAGAGACAGGCTGAGAAGATGTGTGGGGGAGACATGGTAAAGGGAGGAGTCGGAAAGAGGATGTAAGACTGCTCAGTTATTTTCGCTGTTAGCAGAAAAAGCTGAATAATTTGTTAACTCTGTGAGCAAATGAAGTTTGGCTTCTTCCTTCATGAAGTTTGAAAACTGGCTATTAATGATAATGAGAATGGACTAATTTTGCTTCTTCGCTTTATTTTATTTAAGACCTTCCTATCTCATTCTTCAGCTAAATCTGAAAAAGCATATAATGATTAAAGGAATGCTTAGTGACAACAGAAAAACAGTACTTCGCTTATTATATAAACATTAAATATAGTATATAAAAGCTTAATATCTAAAAATGAATACAGGAGTTTCAAATTGTATTCAATGTGACTTAATCTGCAGGTAGTGATACATGAATCAGTGCCAGAATATGAAGCATCTAAAATAGTTTATAAAAGGAAATTCAATTGGTTCAACTAGCACTAGATCTTTATACAGTTAATAGAAAAATTTATATACCGCATCTGAGGCTAATAAAATATTTCAAAATCTGCTGAGAAAGAGTTACTCTAATGTACTCATAAAACCTAACTCCAACTAGCCAACCTCTCTCTCCCTCTCCCTCTCCCTCTCCCTCTCTCTCTCTCTCTCTTTCTTTCTTTCTTTTTCTTTCCATCCATCCATCCATCCATCCATCCTCTGCTTGGAATTCTCCTTGAAATTGATTTATATTATACTTAAGTTCTGTGGAGTGGGTAGAAGAGAAACTAACCTTATCACGACCAGTTGTGCCCAGTGGTTATGTGTACAGCAAATAATAGCTTTGGAGTTGGAACTTGTAAATGAGGGTCCGTATTACTGCTATTGATTGGAAAATGAAACGGGAAATTCCATGGATGAAATTCAATTGGATTAAAAAAATCCCTAGATTGGCCCTAAGTTTCTAGCTCATTAAATGTTAGAGTTCTGCAAGCAAGCAGGTCGACTTACTGGAACAGTTACCTTTCTTTAGTAATACCACTGTAGCATCACAATTGCTGTTGTCATCCATCTCGGTATTATTTGCTAATCCATTCACCATATTTGTTACATTTTTTGTCCTCCGTTCAAACATATGCTGAAGATTGGCATTAAACCTACACAAAGAAGAAAGAATTAGGAATTATTTTAGGCACTGTTAGATGCTATACGACCCCCTGGTCTCATTTCAGATTCCTGGCTGAATGTGGTAAGGGAAGCAGCAGAGCAGCTACTTTTGAATTATTGTTTGGGAAGGCCCAGACAATTTTCATTTGGAATCCTGCAACCTTTTACTTTACTGCTAAAGTATGCTTCTTACTGGGTCACCTTCATGAGGCCCAGCATTTGATGTTTTGCCCGGTTACATGATGAAAGGAATCAGTTTGGCTCCAGCTGGCCCTATAACCTGTCCTTCATTTTAAGTAGCTTGTTTTGTGATACGAGGATGTCCCATGGTGACATTCCTCATAATTTCACTTGTCCTGCCAGTCGAATCAAATTTTAACCTGGTTCAGAAGTTACTGCTTTGTTCACATTTTTATTCACTTTTGATATTAAGAGTCTGATTGTGCAGAATCTTGACACTATCCTCTCTTAGTTTTGGCATGCTTTGTGATTATCTTGGGAGTCAGAATTCTACTCATGGATAGGTTTATAAATTTACAGTTTATATTGAAAATGAGCAAAGATATTTTTTGTAAAGTAAAAATAATACATATGATGAAACCTGTAGGAACAAGTTTCTATGACTTGTATTAATTAACATTCACTGATCTCAAAACAGTTAAGCCAAATCAGACCTGCTTAATACTTGGACAGGAACTACCAATAAATGCAGGGCTATAAATTAGACTTGGCTGTAAAGGAGACAAAAACAAATGACTTCTGTATCGTTGCCAAGGTAACTTAGACACGTCTAAGTAGTCATCAACAGCAGAGTTCAGCTTGCAGAAAACTTGGCCTTTGCTTTACTTGATGTACACAGATGGAAAATAGAGCCTATTTATTTACTTACTTGTTTCCCATATTTCTATACTGTCCAGCTATATTTGTGTACCAAGCTCTTTTGTTTCCTTCAATAATCTTTTGTTTATCTATTCTACAAAACATTCTATGTAACCTTCCCCCCCTCCCAGCTGTGGGCTAGTAATGAGACAGGCTGCAATATGGCTAGATTTGCCACATCTGGATTCTAGAAGGTCAGATTACCACAAGGTTGAAACAAATAGACACAGAGAATATTAAATCTTTTCTGCTGCCTTGCAGGTGACCAGTTTTTTCTCATATTTTCTCATATTTTGCTAATATGAGAGTAGGATGACCAATGACAGAAAGTGGAGAAGCTGGGAAAAAAAAAACCTCTGCTAATTAAAGTGGGAAGTGTCTCTGCTAATTAAAATGGGAAGATATAACTGCCAAAGTGTACAAAAATTGTACTGTATTGAGGAGAAGCTTTTAAGCAGATGCAAAAGGACATTGATTTGTCTAAAATAAAATAACATGGAATAATAAACAGGCCAGGACATATTGGGGTATTTTAAATTTTTGGGGTTTTAAATCGACCAAATCTATTTAATTATTTTAATTTTTAATCATTGTTGTGTCCTGTGTTTTTAAATTGGCTGTACACCGCCCTGAGTCCTTCGGGAGAAGGGCAGTATAGAAATATTATTATTATTATTATTATTATTATTATTATTATTATTATTATTATTATTATTATTATTATTTTGCACTTACTTCATGATAAGAATGTAGATGAAGTACATCAGCACTAGGATTAAGGACTCCCACCTGTGATCAGCCAAGGGGGGAAGAAAGGAAAAAAATAAGCAGCACAATTCCATGACTATGATTGCCTTCTCTTCTGAAATCCAGGCCAATGACACAAGGAAGGGTGAATGATGACAAGTATGGAGCATAGAGGGCAAGATACCCTCTAATAATAATATTGCTTATGGAGAGTGAGATAGCCCCTGATAGTGAAAGGAGAAATCTGGGGTATCAGAAATGAAACTGTGGATGGACAGGGAGAAGGCAGAGCAGAGTGACTGGCAAAACATACAACTGAAAACAGCATGCTAATTCTTTTCAACTCTGACCTTGAGATGGTACTCATTCTCCTGAGATGTGATTTTGCGAAGAATAAATTCCTAAAATGTTGGGCCAAACTATAAGTCTTAGTCTATGCATGTCCCACACATCCAATTATTTGGAATGGAAGCATCATCTGACAAAAGAGCTAGCAATATATAATGGATGGAGAACATACAAATAACTGCATTTTTGACACAGCTCATCATAATCATTCACTAAAAGCTGCAGTGCAATTCCTTATTACCAACCTTCTCTTTATTTATGTGAATTTGGCATTACATTTAAGGTTGGTTGGGAGAATTACTTTGATCCTGATGGCTGATCCAAAAGTCCTGGAAAAAAGGTTTTCTCTTTTAATTTTAAAAAAGATTTAGGCAAATCATTCTATTATTTAGTTTTCCTGCAGGATGGAAATTGGTCCCTGAGCTGTTTAGCAGAACACTAGTTTTCCTTACTTTTCTTAATTGGCAAATGACAACTGTACTACTTACCAAGCAACTTTTTCATCATAAATAAACTGAGGAGAAAAAAATGAAAAAATAAGTATTACTGTGTAGGACTGCTAATAAAATATCTATTGCTTTTTTAAAAAAGAATCTCATATCTCAGTATTTTATGCTGGCTCTGTAACCCAAATTATTCTACATATTTCATTCTCTCAGACTGTTTAAGCATCTGAAATGTAGAACTCCATACATTACATGTAATTTTTGTTTTAAATTAATGTGACTTAAAAAGGCAGAGTTTAAATAAATCAGTTATATTTATAAATACCATTTCAGAGTTTGAATTTCCAATTTAATTATCCAACAGCAATTTATCAAATTTTGAATAAAATGCATATATTAAATCATATAGACAAGCAAGTAAGTGTGATATAAAGTTCTGTTAAATAGTTGTATGTGCAACACATGTGACTCTCCACTTTGCACTGTGAACTTCATGTGAAGAACTCAGTTGGATAAATAGCTAGTCATATGGCATCTTTCTGAATAGCACCACTATTTTCATATATTGTAAATGCATAAATTTGAATAGTACATCATATATCCACTTTTCCCTTGATGTCACTTTATACACACATATCCATTCTGAATGTGGGAAAACTTTCTAAGATTCAAGTCTTCCATCTCCATATTGAAATAACAGTCCCTGATTCTAGCAGCTCCTTCTGCAATCAACATATAGCTCTATTCCTCTTCTGGGAGGTCCACCAGGAAGAAGCTTTCCTCTAGGCGACCACTAGGGTGCACTGACATTCTGTGCTTCCACTTGATTTGTGTCCTTTTTCTTTCAGATGTGCCTACAATGATGCTAGCGAACTAAAGTACCTGGAATGAATATCTAGGAGTAGTATTTACACAGTTACACTTCTAGCTTTCTACTTCTTTTATATTTAGGTGGTTAAAATATACATCTGGTTATCTGTTCATTTTTACTTATCACCTATAACTACAGGCCTTATTATGAAGTAACTTACAGGCCAGGAAACATTCATGCAATAATAAAATATCATAGCAGAGGAAGACAGCAAAAATGCATTTCTGATTTCACAACTTTTCTTTTTTGCCATCTGAATTTGGCTAAAGATTCCTAGAATATTATCTGACAACGGGAAAAAAAAGGGGCTTTGCATGCTTTCATGATATTGCTTTGACTTTGCTTGAGCAGAGCCTAATTCTACTATAGAATTATTCTGCATGAGCCCGAAGAAGGCGCAACCGCTTAAGATGTCAAGGGATTAAAGTGAATGTGTCTATTAAAGCAGCTTCCCTTTTTTTCCAGGCTTGGCAAGAGGCTGAAAAAAGGGGGAAAGGGACTGTTTTAATGAACAGTCTGCAGCAACTTAAAGAAGGAGAATGAAGTTATCACATTGAATGGTGAGAGACACCACCTACTGTACTTGAAATATTAGGCTCACTGTCACAATTCATACAATTTATTCTTTATTTAATTTTCTATCAAAATGAAAAAATAACTATCAGCATCATACAGAGTATTAGCACTTTCAAAATGCAACCAATCACTCTCTCACCATACAAATAGCTATATAAATATTCAATATAAGTAGTATTGAACCTGCATATTGAACTCCCATGTCAATTGGAGGGGAATTGCAGTCACTAAGCAATGCATTCAATAAAGTGCAACTGCTTTGTGCCAGCAATCCATGCAGTCCCAGTTGTCATCATTAAGTTAATGTCCCAGTTCTTAGGCATGGCAACTTTCTGCTGGCTTCCCACAATCAAGGGAATTCTAAATTCCAGGCCCTACAGGATGGGGAGGGAGCAAGGGGGTGCTTGGGGATGCATGCAGGGGTGAAATCGAACAGGTTCTATCCGGATTGGGCAAACTGGTAGCAGCGGCAGCGGGACACTCCGGCCACTGACGCGGACATCATGACGTTGCTTTTTTGCGACATTTTAAGCCTCTGCGCATATGCAGAAGTCTTTGCGCATGTGCAGATGATGGTACGCGCTCGCTCCGCTCGTGCGCACGCAGCGCATGCACATTGGTGAACCGGTAGGGAAGGTAAGTAAATTTCACCCCTGGATGCATGGGAGGGTCAGGGGAGATTTGTGGGAGCCTCAGAACCTCTTGGATTTTCAGCCCCAGAGTCAAGAAGCTTCTGAAACTTCTCTACTCTGGGAGTGAAAATCTAAAAATTCTGCTTGGATTTTGGCACAGGGCATCTTCAATCAGTCTTTAGATCCTGGGAGCTGGCTGAAAACATCCCATGCCTAAATCCCAATTGGATTTCAGGATGGAGTTTTGTCATCCAGTCCCCAGAGATGAAAGGGAGGCCTCTCAACTCTGGGATCTGGCTGAAAATACCCTATGCCAAAATCATGCTTGGAGGCAACAGAACTGACTTTCCCTGCCGGCTTCCCATTGACTTTCTACAGAAGCCAGCAGGGAAGATTGAAAATGGTGATCACATGATCATGGGGCACTTGGTAACCGGATGTAAGTGCAAATGAGTTGCCAAGTGCTCAGATCACATGGGGCATTGCAACTTCCATAACTTCAGGGACCAGTTGTAAATCCCTTCATTCAGCACTGTTATAATTTTGAATGATTGCTGAACGAATGATCAGAGGTTAAGGACTACCTGTCCAGTATTGGAAAGGAAATTGTTTCTTGAATAAATCTCCAGCCCATGTCAAGTATACTACAAATAACAATACAAAGATACTACTTAAAATGATTTAGATTTATTATTTAAATCCAAAACTAATAAATACAAATTTTAAAATAGAGACATGAAGCCTTTTAGCCTATATAATATAATACTTTAAAATGGTTAACAAAGTCGTATCTAGAATGTATTTGCAGATAGGAAAACCAATTCATCTTTATACCTTGTTCTTCTAATTCTTGCATAGATTTAAGTTGACCCTTTTCATTCAATAATTCACTATATCTAACAATTTGTTCCTTTCTAAAGATCATTAATATAAAAATTTAGGTAAACTGTAAGCTATGAATATGGTGAAGACGCACAAAAGACTTGTAACCAACCAACACACTGTGTAATTGAAGATGGTTTTTTTTTTTTTTTTTTTTTTAATTTGATTTATATGCCGCCCTTCTCCGGAGACTCAGGGCGGCTTACAGTGCGTTCAGCAATAGCCTTCATACTTTTGTATATTTATACAAAGTCAGCTTATTGCCCCCACAACTGGGTCCTCATTTAACCTACCTTAGAAAGGATGGAAGGCTGAGTCAACCTTGAGCCTTGGAGAGATTCGAACCAGCAGTAAATTGCAGGCAGCTGTGTTAATAACAGGGTGCTTTAAACCACTGTAGTACCAAGGCTCTTTTAAGTTTTTATGTATGTTTAAAAATAAAAATAAAATTTTTCCAAAAAAAATAATAAAATAAAATGGTTAACAAAGTCGAATAAAATTATAATATTCCTACTGAAGCTCCTGGAAGATATAGGTGCTATATAATATGTAATGTCTGGCAGTTTGTACTATCCCTTTTTCCTTGCAAAAATGCTACTCACTGGTAGGTGGAGAATAGTCTAGACTAGACTAGACTAGACTAGACTAGACTAGACTAGACTAGACTAGAATAGAATAGAATAGAATAGAATAGAATAGAACAGAACAGAACAGAACAGAACAGAATAATAGAGTTGGAAGGGAGCTTGGAGGTCATCTAGTCCAACCCATTGCTTAGGCAGGAAACCCTACACCACTTCAAACAAATGGTTATCCAACATCTTCTTAAAAACTTCCAGTGTTGGAGCATTTACAACTTCTAGAGGCAAGTTGTGCCACTGGTTAATTGTTCTAACTGTCAGGAAAATTCTCCTTAGTTCTAAATTGCTTCTCCCCTTTGTTAGTTTCCACGCATTGCTTCTTGTCCTACCCTCAGGTGTTTTGGAGAATAGCTTGACTCCCTCTTCTTTGTGGCAGCCCTGTTAGAGGAAATTCATTTTACTTTTAGAATTCCAATTTCTGAGATCTTGAAGGAATGAAAGTAAGTAATGATCCCTATATTTAATGCACAACCAGTATTCTATTATAAAAGTTATGTGCCACATTAACTTTTTCACCTGCCCCACAAACTCTTGCACTGGGTTTCTTGGAATCTCAAGATATTATTAATCCTAGGTCAGATAATAAATGATATAGAATCATGCAAATATAAAATAATCTCTTTTACTTTTACAATATTCTCTGAGAGGAATTTGACTTTCAGGTAGTTGTCTATAGATTCTCAAACCAGCTGAAATCATGAGAATATGTTAATTGTACCAGGTAGTGCTGCTCAGTGTAGTAACAATATGTTGAATTTCTTTACATAAAAAACTCATGTAATGGAAGCCAAGAATTTATGGATTGCCAGAGGTTTAGCATGCTACCAGATGTGGCTTGCAAAAATCATGATTGCCACTAAATAGCAACAAAGACATAGACATAAATAGACATCTTGTTTTTTGCCATCAGCTAGCATTAATCCAGATTTTTGCAGCCCAGAATTGTAGCCCTACTTGAAAGTACACCAGTACATCAATGTTCTTAGGCTACCATTTTAGAGCCATTGTTATAGAACATATTGATGACTAAGGTCATGCACAAGTATGATTTCTGTCTTCATAAATTCAAGCAGATACCCTGAGACATACAATATATCTGAAAAGATATCTCAATCTTAGCCTTTCAGACCTCCAGAAAAGAGTTTATTGATGTCACCCAATGGGATTGTTTTCATGTCATTTATTATTTTAGTTCCTACTGTGAACATTTTATTTAAATGCTTGTTTTTCTTGTAATTACTGTAAACTCCTGAAAGACTGGAAATTGCAGCTGGCATAAATAAAATATAACAGGAAATAAACATCTAAAGATGGAAAGAAGGAATAACAACTATCCCTTTTGTAAATAGCACAAAATAACATCTTGGCAGTTCACAAAACAAATTTTATGTCAATATTCAGTTATTAAGACATATTTTCTGAATGACAACATACGTTTCAAGACTTCAGAATGTATAGCATTTACTTTAAATACTAAAATTTGGTGTGTTCAATACGGCTGTGGCTATCTAAACCTAAAGCCTCACATTCTAAAGTTTTGAAACAAGCTTTTTCAGATCACAATGGACAAAATCTAAAGAGTCACTAAAGTAAAGCCTGAAATTGTTAAGGAGTATGACTTATATTCAATTAAATGGAATGTCCAGAAGAGAAAAACAATCAATAATTATTGGTTAAAGCATCTCTCATTACTAAAACCTTACAAAATAGGAAGATCAACACTCTTGTTTGTTAAGGGCAGTCAGAGACTGAATTCACATCACATTCTTATCCAAGGCCAAATTAACCATGGCTAATTCAGTTGTGGATTTGTACAGTAAGTCTAACCATAAATTAGCTAGGCAATTTATAGGCATATACACAAATGCAAACCAAAATTTGATTGGCTAGGTCAGTATGACATGCGCACGTACATAACCAAAACCTTTATTTAGGAAAATAACCGCTCAGTACTTACCAAAATAAGTGCAGCAACCGAGCAGGTATAATACACTGAATCTCTCAAGAGGCTCCAAGAAGACAGTACAACTATCTGAGAAAAAAAAGCAAAAAGAAAATGAATTGGCGAGCACAAACTTTGCATCAAAAACGAATAGCAAGAAAGGGTTTTAAAAATGATTTGGAAGTTTGGGGTGCTGTTTCCCATATACAATTATTCACTATGAGAGATCTGAAAATGTTGCAGTTTTGAAACCCAAGGTTACTTCAAGGAAAAATACCTACCGTAGTTCCAGATTCTCTGTTCTGATTTGTGATTTAGCTTGAATTCAAAGTGAATCAAGGCAATTTAAGCCAGATTTTTATTTTTATAAAGCAGGTTCTGCCCTGCTTTGTCTTGATTCAAAACCTTCTCCAATGCTGTGCACCCCAATGTTGAATTCCAGAGTATTGCTCCACTGCAAATGATGGCTCTGCAACACAAACACACACTCTCTCTCTCTCACGCGCACACACACAAACGTGGCAGGGATTGACATTGGTTGTATAAAATATTGGTGGAAAGGATACTGGTTTCCTTAAATGATAGCTCTATCTGAAATTTAAAGTAACGCTTTTAATTAGACAATGAGTGAGCGTTTGGGATGGGTAGCAAGCTAATAGGCAAATGGGCTCTGGGGCACTGACAAGGCAGCCGAGCAGTCAGCTAGAAAGACTGGGGAGAAGCAGATCTCAGTACATTGTATTTGCAGGGCTTGCACTGGGAATTCTGGTTCTTTTGCATTCAGACAAAAATAAACCTGTTGAATGAGGTGTCTATGACAGATCTTGCTGACTGAGGCTAGTTTGTCAGTTTGGCTTGGGAGATACCAGAATGACTGTTGTGTAAAAAAGGGCAGGAGAGCAACAAGATGAGGCACTGGCAGAGAAACGTTACCCCCTCCTTCCCTGTGCAAATGGGTTGGTCTGTTCCACCTTTCTTCAGGCTTGGAGTAGACCCACCACAGTTATTTACCGGGGGCTGGTTTCTCTAGTTTGGGGGCTTGAACTGCTCAGCTTTGAGGGGCTCAGCTTCAGGAGGGAAAGACACGCCTCTGAAAGGGATGGGTTTTTCTGAGAATCCTCACAGCAAGAAGAGAATTCTTTTTTCCTGAAACCATGTTCCAGAAGTGGGAACAAGTCAGGGCAGACTATCCCATACCAAGTATGTGTCGAACTATTTCTGAATCTGACCTTGGATGTGGACCAAAAGATCACTTATGAACATGTATGAACATTTATGGGGGGTGGGGAGGGACTGATTATGCCAGCAATCAGAAAGAGATTTATGATCATTAGTAACGGATTTATTATTGCTTCTGGCATCTTGGTTTTAGTAAAAACTGAAAATTGACCCCAGTAGACTCCTGTGCTTTTCCTTCTTTAATGCTAGAAAAGAGGAACACTTTTTCCTCTAAGAAACTAAACTATATATGTTTAAGCATTGAGATGACAAAATCAGATGGCATCTGGAAAAATTCTATTTTTGAATGATGATTGATATTCACACAAGCTCAAAAAACACAATATATGAAGAAATCACGTGCTTCCAATTCACTCCTTGTTATGCTAATAAATGTTTCGATTCATCATAAAAGCAAGCTATCGAAAATATGAATACTGCTGATTTGCAGTCTGAAGGGATTTGATTCATTATATCAACACAGGTCTCTTATTGCCCCATTGCTGTCTCATTTTGCCACTGCATTAAGGTGAGGCTTGAGTTATTGTCATCAAATTCCAAATCACTCTGTGGGTTACAATACTAGGATGTTTCAAGTCAGTTTGGTGGTAACATATTTCACACTAGCTGTAGAATTCCGATTCTATATAACAAGATATTCTTTTAAGTTTATTTAGTGGCATGAATCAAGACTATATTATTTATTATTTAAAATAACCCTGCATTATTTACAACATCTAGTGCATTTAGTACATCATATGTGCAAACTTTTTCAGAGAGCATTTTGTACCAAAACAATCACACCCAAAATCATTTTATGGGGCAGCAAGTTCATGTAAACAATCATGATAAAATAGATCAAAGACTGAATCCATTTGAATTACTTGTAGTTGGTAAAATGCAGAACTGGAGAAGAGAAGCAGCATTTGAATTATCGCTGCTCAAAGAATATTTGGCACAAATAAATTGGGCAGAACTCCCACCCCACCAGTGGTGGGTTTCAAAAAAATTTTACTATCGGTTCTGTGGGTGTGGCTTGGTGGGCGTAGCATGGCTTGGTGGGTGTGGCAGGGGAAAGATACTGTAAAATCTCCATCCCACCCCACTCCAGGGGAAGGATACTGTAAAATCTCCATTTCCTCCTGATCAGCTGGGACTCGGGAGGCAGAGAATAGATGGGGGCAGGGCCAGTCAGAATTTTTACTACCGGTTCTCCGAACTACTCAGAATTTCTGCTACCAGTTCTCCAGAACTGGTCAGAACCTGCTAAAACCCACCTCTGCATCCCACCTCCCAGGGTATATCCTAACTAAATGGTCACCCAACTATGCATCTAGCCATCTATAAGATTTCTTTCTTATATGACAGTTTAGTTTGATAAAGTTTATATGACCCATAATCTTCAGATTAAAATCAGGGAGGATATTCTGTTGGGCAAACCTGCTGTAGTTGTGGATCCTTCACTGTCTATTTCTATGTTGCTAAATATTACATTTCTTTTACATAAAATCAGTACTTCATTTGCAAGACCTGGAATGGCGTAGTGCTTTGCAAGAGTTAGTGCTCTTTGGTGCTAACAATACTTTATGGATATAACAGATAAAATTGCTATTGGGAATAATGTGAGGGCGTTTCCTTGATCCTAACTACAGCTGATACCATGTCATCCTTTCATGCCTAGCTCATAACTGAGGCAACTCACATGGTCTTTAACTACTCTAGTTTCAACACAATATTTTTGAGTATGATATGGCATGCTTTCCTGATAATAGGATTGCTGATCTGCTCAGGGGATGCTGTGGGATGGTTGGTATTTGTCCAATTTCTACTGGCCACTTTTGTTCTCTCAGTTTAACGCTGCCATTCCTTTGCAGCCAATAACAGTCTGCTTGCTACCTATTACCTCTTTCCATTTCACCCCAAAAGCCCCTCCTTATCTTCTACCTCTCTGCAGGCTATTTTTGAACAAAGGTATAGTGCATTCAATCTTTGTTCAGAAATAGTCCAGCTGACAGCAGCAGCACTGCAGAGCTCTCTTCCCCTTTAGCCTTGTACCTCCTCTATGTTGATTATCTGTCAGCTGGGCATGAACAGATCTTAATTACCTTCTGTTTTACCTTTAAAAAGATATAGGTTGCCCGTATACTCCAAAGGTTCAGGGGTGCCCACAGAGTAGGAAAAAAAGTAAAGATGGTGACTGTGATCATGTGATACAAAGTCTTTTGTGATATGAAAATACTGAGATGAAATGAGGTTTTCAGTTGCTAAAATAAACATATGGAAAGCTTCAGATGGATTATTCATTCCAAAGTATTTGTTTATAGGACTCAAGTGACTGCCATTATTTCCAGTGCCAAACAGAAGATGTTTGGCACTGGACATAGGAAGATAGGAGTTGTTTAAAAAGTGCTTTATCTAAAGTCAGGTATGAAATTGGTGCATGATTATTGCAAAATTACTCTTGTGTAATTGCTGTGATGATGCAAAAGGCAGTGTGTTGCATAAATTATCTTTCTTGAATGGTCTGATTGGGATTATTTTAGTTTTAAATGCCATTTACATTACCATTTAATGCCATTTATATAAGTTTCCTTTATTATCCTGGTTATGTAATACTGCTACTCTCTGCATGAACACACAAACAAGCAACTATTTCTCCAACAAGGTATAGCTTTATAGCAAACGGGGAAAACTAAGTGTGAAAGGAAATATAAAATATAAAGAAAATTCCACTGAGAAATTCCCTTATAGAAGACCTCAGTTTCTCCCATTTCAGAATTTAACTGAAAAAAATGCACATCTATCCATCCCCATGCTTCATTTAGGCTGCAAATCCTTTTTATCTTTTAAAATACTACATGTGTTTTTCCATAATACTTAAGAAATTTTATAGCACTTGGTGCTATCAGGAGAACTAACCCATCAACTTTTGCTACATATTTGCTGGACTAGCTTTTTTTCTTTTTTCTTTTTTTTTAAATAGGAGTTTGATTCTAAAGAAGGTATATTACAAGGAGACATCTACCAAATACATCTAGGATAAATTCCTAAATTTCTTTCTTCCTTTTGCTTTCCAGAAGGTAAGAAAAGCCTTCCATTTCAGTGGGGTTCATGTAAATGAGGAAACAACAGATTTTGTCTGTCTAGGGTTTAATATGTGATTTTATTGTATAAGAATTCCCTTAGGCCTATAATGTATCATAATAGAATAAAATTCTAAGTCAACTTCACCTAGAATTGAATAATTTTTTTAAAAGAAATCCTTGTTGATTTTGAGGGGTTACTCATCTAGTCTGAACAAATAATCAGATGCCACATTTTGTTAGGATGAATGGAACTGCTATACAAATAGAAAAATTGAGTATTAATACCTTTTCTCCTGAATTTAATTCCCTTCCCTGTACTAATCATTAACTAGACAGATAGTACTGTAATAGCCACTAAATATGGCATAATGCTTCATGCTTCACTAATCTCCTGACCAAATTACTATAATGCATTATATATGGGTCTAGTTTCAAAAGTCAATTGAAAATATGATTGTCAGAATTTTACTTTCTGGAGTCAGATAGAATTAGTTTCCAACCACAATTCAAGAAACTGGAAATTAGCCGTAATGTGCTAAATAGTTTGGTATTCAAATACTTAAAGAAGCACCTTTCACTATGGCGAAGAGCCACAAGTATTTTGGACTATAAGATAGAGAGCTTGAATATATATTTGTATCTTTAGCTATTTATTTATTAAGCTATTTATATGGCCACTCATCTTGCTACTGCCACTCTGAGTGGCTGACAGTGCATTAAAATTCCCAAACAGTAACAATCTCAAATAAGTTAAAAAAAAATAAAAACAAGGGTCAAATCTGGCAAATCCATAGTCAAAAAAAGTGGAGTTTACTTAACATCCTGCCCAAATGTCTGAGGAAAAACCAAGGTCTTTAGCATCTTACATAAAGTTAACAGAAGTTGGGACCATTCAGATTTCTTCTAACATGACTCTTTCTGTAGCTGACTTCAAGAAAGAGTCATCTTGCAAAAGAGTCCAGGGGTCTGGCATTTCTTTAGGTGATGCTTTAAACGTTTGTGTTACATTGATTCATTAAAAAAAATTCTAGTGATCTCTTATTGTACTTAAAACAAACTTGCTATTGCATTCCTATAGGAATTCCTGCATTCCTTCCTACTTGAAAAGATGCTGAATGGAATTCAGTAAGGTTTTTGTTTTAGGCTAAATCTTGTAGTATTTTCATTATCCCAAAATCAATTTCATGGAAATTCTCTTCATATTCTCTCAACTAATTATTTCAGCAATGGATAAGGAAAAAAAGTTGTTTACTTACATTAGCATATATTGATCCAAAGATAAGCAAATTTGTGGATGAACAAAAGGTTACCCTTCCTCTTACAGATAACTTCCTTCTGATAACTATATGGCTATATTCACATAGTTTTAATGGCAGCAATGTGGAAGTGGTTTGCCACCTTTAAAAATGCCCTTAGCAATGGTGAATAGCATTGTTCCAGGAATGTGTGGTATTTTAAGTTCCACTTTCAAATAATTGTGAAAATCAAATCCTTAAACCCAGGAATCTAATTCTATAAATAATACCTATACTGTATGTGAAGCATTTTGCACCTTCCTAAAGTGAGGTTTAGATAGTGGTTCTGGCAACAGGGAGATCAGGGACAAGTGATTTTTGAACACATTCTCATTCTGTATAGGTTAAAAGAAGTTTTAGAAATGTTTTTGAATTCCATGAATTACCTTACCTGTCCTGCAAATAGGCCACAAACCCCAATTATGCACAGGATGTTGAATACTGCAGAGCCAACAATGGTTCCAACACCTACATCTCCTTTTGTGATAAACACACCTGGGGATGGGGGATAATTTCAATGTGTTATCAAAAGGCAGACAAAATTTCTGATCGTGAGTTAAACTATGCAGAGTTGAACTGCAGAAAAAAAAACTGCATAATCTTTAAACTTTGATTAAAGTAGAGAACATATGCAGAATTACAAATGCAGTCAGATGTGGTTTTTGCATGATAAAATAAAGTGAATTACAACAACATACACCAACGATTTCTTAACATTTATTCAAAACCCACAGAGCCCTAACCAACATATGTCTCAAAGTAAGATGGTGAAATAAACTTCCAGGTGCATTTTTTAACCAGATAGATGAGGCAAAGTTAGGGAGAATAAGTTCTGCTCCCAGCCATTCTTGCAAATAAGCTCTTAAAATGTGACTTTCCTTATATCCAGTCTACAGGTAGTCCTCAATTTAGACTACAATTGGGACTGGAATTTCTGTCATTAAGTTGTTACAATTGTAAAGTGAGTAATCACATGATTGGACCTGATTTTACAACCATTTTTACAGCAGTTGTTAAATTAATCAGGCAACTGTTAAGCCAATCCACTTTGCCAATTGACATTGCTTGTTGGAACCTGGCTGTGAAGGTTACAAACTGCAATTTCATGACTACAGAAAGCTGCAATTGTTCATAAATGCAGGCACCCAAATTGTGATTATGTGACCATGGCAGGTTGGTATGATGGTTGTAACTTTGAGGATAGATCATATATCACTTTTCCCCCAGGCTACTGTAACTTTGAACTGTCATGAAACAAAAGGACTATTTATATCACGTTTTCGTCTTGAATATAATAATATGTAAAGAATTTCTCAGATTTGGGCAGTACTGGAAATATATTCAGGAAAAGCTGCATATATGATTGCTGAAATATGTAAATGAAATTATTCTGTTTTCCCCATATAAAGCATGATACAACATTGGAAATGTAAAGTCTCACGTTTTTTAAACGGCACTTTTGATTGACATGAGCAGGAAGTTTTGTTATAGACCTAAGAATGCTGGACAGGTTGTTCTAACTGCATACTTCATTACAGCAACGACCCCCACCAAAGTGCGCTGCTCCCTGCCTGGCAGGAGATCTGGCAAAGAGTCCTGTGCAAACATTCCATAAAGGCGTCTAACAGCCCTGCCTGCTGCTCTGGCTTCTCTCTCTTTGTGACCACACAGAAGATGCTCCAGTCAAATCTACCGTGAGAAAGACTAGAAGAGCTGAGCTCTCCTCACCTGATCCATCCTTCCTGAAATCAGAAGCTGGAATATAAGAATTCCCTCTTTCAGAACACTGCTGGTGATGGATAGTATATTTTCTCTGTATTCTTGCTTAGTAGCAACCAAACAATCTGGCCTTCCCATCTGTTACATATTCAGATGACTCCTATTAAAAATACTTATGCTGTTCTCATTCAACTGCTATTTCAATGCAGTTCATTTACCTCCAATAAAATAAAACAAAGCAGCATTCTAAGCCAGCTCTGTTCAACTTTTCAGGCAGAGGTGCTACTCAGCATCCCACTTTGAAATGCCAGGAACGTAATGAATGCAAGGCATGTGCTTTGTTAGTTACTACTACTTTCATTAGCTGCCTTCTCACCACATTTTAAACACGACATATCAAAGTAATGATCAGTTGATTAATGAACTGTTCTTCCCATCCTTTTCAATGTAACCTGACAGCAGAGTTAGCAGTTGAAAACATGGGAGTATGTGTTAATTAATGCCCCTCTGTTTTGGTGGTTGTTCCAAATATAGACTTCTGCTAATAACCATACATAGATTTTTCAGAGTGTGAATATTGTTGGTATCATGCAAGATCCCACTTCATCGTATAGGAAAAACCATTCTGTCACTTTTTCTGTGACAAAAGTTTTCTCTTCCATTAGCATTAGCTAGTTTCAGAAACACACATACCCTGTTTCCCTGAAAATAAGACTGGGTTTTATATTTTTGGGGCTACCAAAAAAGGCATCAGGTCTTATTTTCAGGGAGCTCTTATTTTCCTCCCCCATGTACCGGGAGGCGGGGGGAGCTGCCCCTCGCATCTCCTTGCCTAATGGTCTTACCAGCAGCTTGATCCGTGAAACAGCTGATCTGCAGATGCACTCCTGCTGCCACCTCCAAGAAGCGCAGTCGCTTTTGCAGCTGATTGAGGTTGCAAAAGCAGCAGGAGACCCCACGCGCCTTGCGCCCACTTCAAGAACAGTCTTACCATACCAGCAACTTGGTTAGGAGGTCAAGCCAGGTGCCCCACACGCCTCGCACCTCCACAAAACAGCTGATCTGTGGGTGAGCTCCTGCCCAGCACAGATATACATCCAGGATTGCAAGGCTGAAGGCTTTGGATGGAGCATTTTTGGGATGTGCGTCTGTGCTGGGCTCAAGGAAAGGATGATCAGCAGGAAAAATGGGGAAGGGAGGAGATTAGGAACAAAGCCATAAATAGTAATTCTTATTTTCACAAATGTTAGTGGTTAGAAGTTAGTGGTTTTGTTACCTATCACAGATGTAAACAGCTCCGGAGCAGAACTGCCAGCTGCCATGAATGTTGCCCCTGCCACATCTTCACTGAGGTGTAAGCGCTGTGGAAGGAGGGGAAAAATCACTGATTGACTGATATGACTTTAAAACCTCTTTTAATGTTTCTCAAGGCATAATAAAAGGAGATAACAAAAACTAAAAACACATTTAAATTGTAGTTAAAACATCTAAGCAACTGTCATATTGATCAAATATTAGATAAGAAGCAAAGGGCATCTAATACCTGCCTGGATAAGGATGCATTGCATGGCTTGTCAAGGGCGGAACTCCAGAATTGGTTGAGCCATTTTCTTCCTTCATGCACTTTTCCAGTAACATCAACTTCACAGATCTAGACTGATGACTGAGTATGCATTTTCCCCTAGGCTAGGTGTACTGGTACTGACTGAGAAGTGGGAAGTTTGGTTTGGTTATCACTTACCTGTTTCCTAAATATTCTATTTTGCTCTGTCCTATTGAATGGCAGTTCCTACCAACTTCAATTTGCATGTTTTAGAGTTATCTTGAGCATTTGTTAGGTTTGGAATGAAACAAATGCAGAAACCTTTGTAATCAGAAGGTTTGTACACATGCCCAGTATTGTATTTATTTTATAAATATACAATAGTCCTTAAACAATGATCCTGCATATGCATTCTGGATGAGACTGTATTTTTTTAAGCAGTAATCAACAACCTATAGTCATGGGTCCTGCAAAGCACTTCTTTAAAAAATCCTGGAGCCCTTGACTGTGTCATCAAAATCTAATGGTATATATTTTTAAAAAGTGGTATGAGGGTGGGGATGATATTAGACTAGGAATAAAATAAAAGGATTATGTAGTTTTGGAATAAGTTTAATATATTGGAATTATGTAAATGTTGGACCTCAAAAAAAGATACAGAAAGATAAAATTATATTTGTATAAATATAAGAGAAATGAAAATTTCCCCAATAGGACTTTTTAAAATTTAATTCAGATCACAGCAAACAAACATATCACACAGTTAAAACCGTTTGCACCAGAATTATACTGTTGGATATACTGTAGCTCTTATTTTTTTATAAACATTTTCTAATGTCAGGCCTTATGGACAATCACAATTCCTGTACAATTTAAGTGTTTAAAAAGCTAATTCCCTGCTGCAGTTATTTGAAAAGAGCATGGAGAAAAACAGATAGGGAACTGCTGGTACTTTAAGAGTATTACACACATTTAATAACATAACTGTGTTTGGAATACTGTGTACTCTACCACTTTAGTAATTTTCCATTTAGAAAACACATCAATTTGAAAAAAAAAATACCTAAAAGGGGACAAATAAAACAATATGGAAATTAGAAAAAAAATGTGTGTTTTTCATTTAAAAAACTTAGAATAGGGAAATGTGCACTTCATGTGCTTATGGATTACTCTTCTATATGTTCACTGGAATTCTGCAATGCTTCAGAATCAATTATGCTGAAAAGTTCTCTTGTAACATGCAAAAATGCCAAGGTAACATCTGTTGGTCATTAAACCAGCTGTGTCTTTTTCCATATCAGCCATGTGCTTCAGGCAACAGAGGTGGGTGTTTTAATGAATTACTTGCTAGTGTTGCATTCATTCTTCAGATTCTACAAAGCAACTTGCAGAATTGAATCTGAAGCTTGCACAGCTTTTAAGTTTAATATGCTAGGGGACATTTACAAAGAACTAGACATATTCAGAATGGAGGATCCCCCCCCCCATGTGTATTAGCCTTAACTTCCATGTTCAGAGACCATGAAGCACCACCAATAACATTTCTTGGGAAGCACTAATAGTCAAGGCTATTCTCCTTATGTTTCTCACTGATAAAAGAAGTACAGAGTAGGAAATGGTATAAGCATACAGATGTTCAGGAAACCTCTACTACAGATATGAAAAATGTAAAATAAGAAATTAAATATGATTAAATGCAAAACATGGTAATGTATACATTTCAATATACATTGTAAACTATTTTCAGCAGATACTTACTTCACAAATTTTTTCCAATGAAGGAACAAAGAAATCATCACAGATAATAGCCAAAGCGTAGAACATGTAGACGGCCTAAATAAACAAAAAGCATTCCGTTGAGAATTTTTTTTTAATACTAAAGAGGAAAGACTATTTAATTGAGCTCAACTAGTTGGTATGTCTACTTTGTTTTCTTGATAATATGATTAAAAAAAATTTATTATGACCAGAGGCAGACAGAAAAAAATGTGGATTCTTTGATAGCAATATAGAAGTCGTTTCCAGCTGCAGCCCTCTGGGATGTTTCTCTATCTTCCCAGCTTAGTCTACAGATGAGGAATGCCCTAAATATGGGGAAAGGTCCAAACCTACTCAATTTCTAACCCCAAACAAGGGCAGCTGGGTGCATATTTGATTGGGTTAATAATGCCTGGTTTTCTTGCAGGAAGAATATGAACACTGTGTAATAGACTTCTCTCAACTAGCTTACTATTGAGGGAAGGTGTTGAGAGAACTCCATTACATATTCCAGCTCCCTGAAAAGGACTCCCTGCACAGAACAAATCTTCCTGCTAGAAAACCAGGAATTATTAACCCAATCAGATATGCACCTGCATGCCAGTTCTCTACAGGAAAATGGGTGGGTGAGTATCTGTATGTGTGTAAAAACAACTCTATATTTTCAAACATGTTTTAATTCTTTCCTTAATTCAGGCCATGTTCAATCTAAGAACTAGTGGTATAAATCTGCATTATGGCTTTTGCTATAATCTTGAAGTAATCACTGGTAGGCAAGGCGACACAGACTCTGTCCACCTATCAGCTCCAAAATATGAAACTGGTTTCCTTGTTCCCAATTGACAATCAATTCCAGATGGTTTATGCTGTCTGACAATTAGAAGAATTAACCTTAGAAGAAACACCACATTGCTTTTGCCATCCTTGTTTCTTCCTTCCCAGATAGATCCAACACCTGGGGATTCATCGGTGTTTTATTGTAGTATGCACTGTATTAACACCAAGGGAAGGGACTATGCAGATTGCACCTAATTATGTCAAATAGCATTCTCTATAAAGGGATTACATAATGCACAATACACAGTACAAAAGCTATCCATTACATATCATATCATATATATATATCTGGAAAAAATGCTGCACAATATTTTCATAGTGTACAGCGTTTTTGATGCTAATTGTCACACATTTGAAATAACTTGAAGTCATCAATTCTGAATATACTTTTGTGATGGGTAAGTGGTTCTCTTATTCATTTGTATTTGTTCTATATGTACATATCTTTTATATGCTTATATTTTTCTATGTGCTCCTTGTTGCTTTTACAATTTTTATTCTGATTTCAAGTGATTTCCATATAAATAAACAATATTGCTATTCAACTTCCAGTGGCATTTTTGTCCATGCCTAGACAGATTCAGTACAAGCATTACTAATCAAATGCTGATTATACTAAATGCTGAATTACTATCAACTCACATGCTCTGGCCTATTAGTTCCATGCAAATAAATTCTAATGCACAGACAAAGCTTTTTCCTGCACAATGATTCCTGAATCCATTTCAGTGGAATATCAATTCCACATGCCTCATTCCTTTGTGTAGAGCTTTGTACAAGCGCAAGGGAACCTTCAAGCATCTTATGCAGGCTAATTCAGAACCACTGGATATCACTACATCTCATACACAGGAACAGGAGAGTCTTATTCTATGAGGAAAAAATGCTAAAGCACATGCAAAGATATTCTCTTTAATGCATAGCACATGGTCAGGTCATATGCAAAGAGCCTCTGTGCACTTACCTGTCAGAAATTATGTATTATGACCAGTTTCTTTTCTGGAGATGCCAAATAATGATCACATTTCCATAGGATAGGTAACAATGAAGAAAGGTAATTTTATAGAAATCTACTTTATTTCAGTTCCCAAACAATTGGAACCACTTTTAATTTTCATTAAAACAAGCACATTTAAATAAAAATGCCTCCCTAGACTAATTTTCTTTTCATTGTAGGGTAATAAATGCTGTGCCAGAAGCTAAGCCACTTAGAGAGGTGTCTTCATGCCCAATTAGCATGATTTCTTTTCAAGAATTTCTGGTCAAGATGCTGATGTAATTGACTGGGACTGGCTTTAATACTTCCTGCAACATGTTTCTCCTGCTTAATTACTACTGGAGCTAGAAACAAGTAATTGTTTTCTAATTCGGATAACTGAGCAGATTTCTTGCCAAGTGAGGCAAAGGCCAGCAAAGGGGTAAAAAAGGTCAGCTGTCATCATCCCCATCCAAAGAGCAATGTCTATGGCATCACTAAGGATGAAGATAATCTGTCTGTTCTCTTTGAATGGAGAGGAAACTATCATTGCTTGACTTTAAGGTGCCATTACTAATAGATATAATAAACTAGATGGAGATGAAAAGAGATTGTAAGTTTGTGGAAATTTATTGTAACATCCGAGGTTGGTAAAATGAGGACCCAGACTGTTGGGGGCAATATGCTGACTCTGTAAACAGCTTAGAGAGGGTTTTAAAGTACTGTGAAGCAATATATAAGTCTAAGTGCTATTGCTATATGCCGTTTATATTTGGACAAAGCTTCTGATGTTCCTACTGACTCTTATTATTTCTAGGCACTTTATTATTTAATCATGTGGCAGAGAGTCAAATGCTTTCAAGTAATGCTTTCAAGCTACATTCAATTTTGTTTTCCTCTTGCTGTTTTCCAAAATAATTTTGTCAGTTAAACACCATTTAACAATGTGAAGTGGTTGGTAAGCAAATAATTGGCCTATAGTTGCCTGGTGCTGCCTTTTTGTTGGATCTTTCATTATCACTTAGGTTTTGCCAAACGTTAACCAATCTTCACTTACAGCCACTTGCATTCTGTTATTAAACTGCTTGGCAGTGAAGGGGTATATCAACCAAGCAGATGTTTCAACAAAAACAATGCAGTTTATCTACATCTAGTGCTGGCCAATTCTTGATCATCCTAGCCTTTTTCTCCATCATTTCTAAGTTCTCCATTTCAGCTCCTTTTTTATTCTTATCTAACTCCTTTATTCAAACAGCATTCTTGTATTTCTTTGTATTTCCAAGGATTTCACTGTTTCTTCTTTGTCAGATACTGACTGATTCATTGCTGTTTCTCCATTGATTGGTATAAATGTTTCTGTTTCAACTGATATTTGAGATTATTCCTCTTGTGTAATTTAAGTTTGTATCTGTTGATCTTCTTGACTGTATTTGCTACTTTATTATTTCTAGTACTTCCTTGTTCCTATATTTCTCGATATGGTAGTCTTTGGTCTTCTTGCTCTTCAGCTTCTTTTATTTCATCTGTTCTAGCTTGCTTGCATCTGATCTTATCATGCTGATTTATTGTCCAATCTGATCTTCCATTTTGGTGGTGCACTGGCTTCTTTTCTTGTTTGTTGACTTTGCATCAAAGTTATCTAGTTATAACTGCAGCCATGCTATACATTAGTTGGTTTGTTTCTTGCAGTGAACTTATATTTAATATTACAGTATTGGCATCTTTTAAAACTTATACTAGATGTTTCTTTATAACAAGTTTCAAAGAATACAACCTTACTATATTATTTTTGCTCTGTTCTAGATGCTCAGTTAGTGCAGTTGTCACCAGATGTCTATTTGGTAAACATTTAACATTTAGTATGGCCCATGTTGACCCTGGATTCGGTATAACTTTTTGTAAATTATATCTCACTATATTGTTTATGGGAGAAACACTCTGATAAAACCTCTGGTATGGTTGAACTTCTGGCATAGCTCTCATCTTCCTCAGAGCACACAACCCACAACCACATCAAGGTAGTGCTTTACTGGGAGACAATAATTTCTTTCATCCTTGAGAGAGTTTGAATGATTTGGAATTGATTGGGCCTATGCTTTCCTGCTATTTAAAAGAAACTATGTAAACATTCCTTTCATTTTTACAATACATACAGAAAATTTGAATCACTTTTCATTATGACTTAATGTTTAGCATTAATAAAAGTTTATGGTCCAACTATATTAATTTAAACTTTTTAACAAGCACACCCCACATACAAATACCTGCATACTGAATGTCTTTTTTTTTTTACATGATCATCAAAAATTACAAAAAAAAAACCAAAACCAAAACAAAACTAACAACCCCAAACCCAGGAACATCAATAAAATTATACTTTGCAATGTTTTCACTTTAGCTATACTCTGTTTTGCTACCATGCTGAGAACTGAATGTTTCATATCTGAAAAAAGAAGCATAACATTAAACCCGCCCATTCTGTAAAGATATTAGTACAAGAGGAGCAACCCATAACTCTTACAATGCCCCTGATGGAAAGCACTGTAGGAAATAGTGTATCATTTCAATTCCCAGATAAGCATGGTCAGATGGGCTCAGATAAAGGGATTAGAATATCTAATCTACAGAAGTGCAGGTTAGAAAGCATTGTGCTTACCCTATTTTTTTTCTCAAATCTGGAAAAGGCAAGTATTTAAAAACCTGCAGATTTCTAATGGAATTTTGCAGCCCCCACTTTCCCATTTTTTTCCAGACCTATGTATTTTTTTCTAATATTTTGAATACAATCCCCAATTTACAACCATTAAGCTAATGTTTCAGCTGTAAGTAGTGTGGTTGTTAAGCAGGTCACCACACAATTGTGACTGATTTTACAACCATCTTGCAAAGGTCGTTATGTAAAGGCAGCAATCACAATGCTAACACCATGATTGTTATGCAAATTCATTGTTTGGGATGGGGCTTTTTTTTCCAGAAAAAGTAAACATGAGTTTACAGCAAAAATGTAAATCACAGTCAAGTGAGCACAGGACACTGCAAACAGCCATAAATGCAGCCTGGTTGCTGAGCACTGAAAATGCAGTCATGTGACCACAGGAGAAAGGACAGTCATTGTGAAAGGACAACCCTCAGAACTCTGAGTTGTAAGTAACTTTACTGGGGTCCATCATAACTTCAAACATCACTAAGTGACCAGTCATAAATTGAGGACTGCCTATATAGTAATTTAGCCATCAAAGAAACCCGTTTTACCTGTTTACAC